AACTAATATAAATCGGAATTTGAAGCGGGATACCTCTAAATGTTTGTGGAGCAATTCTCTACAAAACTGCATTCAAATTTAAAATTTTATTTTTTTTTCATTTTTTTGTCATTTTTCTGATGTTATGATGTTGTGGAAATTCAAAAATGTCCCGAGGCTGAAGTTCTAAACTCCATAACTCAACTAATCTTAATCGTAATTTGAAGTGGGATACCTCTAAATGTTTCTGGAGCAATTCTCTAAAAAACTGCATTCAAATTTAAAATTTTATTTTTTTTCATTTTTTTTGTCATTTTTCTGATGTTATGATGTGGAAATTCAAAAATGTCCCTAGGCTGAAGTTCTGCAGTCCATAACTCAACTAATATAAATCGGAATTTGAAGCGGGATACCTCTAAATGTTTGTGGAGCAATTCTCTACAAAACTGCATTCAAATTTAAAATTTTATTTTTTTTTCATTTTTTTGTCATTTTTCTGATGTTATGATGTTGTGGAAATTCAAAAATGTCCCGAGGCTGAAGTTCTAACCTCCATAACTCAACTTATCTTAATCGGAATTTGAAGTGGGATACCTCTAAATGTTTGTGGAGCAATTCTCTACAAAACTGCATTCAAATTTAAAATTTTATTTTTTTTTCATTTTTTTGTCATTTTTCTGATGTTATGATGTGGAAATTCAAAAATGTCCCGAGGCTGAAGTTCTAAACACCATAACTCAACTTATCTTAATCGGAATTTGAAGTGGGATACCTCTAAATGTTTGTGGAGCAATTCTCTAAAAAACTGCATTCAAATTTAAAATTTTTTTTTTTTTTAATTTTTTTGTCATTTTTCTGATGTTATGATGTTGTGGAAATTCAAAAATGTCCCGAGGCTGAAGTTCTAAACTCCATAACTCAACTAATATAAATCGGAATTTGAAGCGGGATACCTCTAAATGTTTGTGGAGCAATTCTCTACAAAACTGCATTCAAATTTAAAATTTTATTTTTTTTTCATTTTTTTGTCATTTTTCTGATGTTATGATGTTGTGGAAATTCAAAAATGTCCCGAGGCTGAAGTTCTAAACTCCATAACTCAACTAATCTTAATCGTAATTTGAAGTGGGATACCTCTAAATGTTTCTGGAGCAATTCTCTAAAAAACTGCATTCAAATTTAAAATTTTATTTTTTTTCATTTTTTTTTGTCATTTTTCTGATGTTATGATGTGGAAATTCAAAAATGTCCCTAGGCTGAAGTTCTGCAGTCCATAACTCAACTAATATAAATCGGAATTTGAAGCGGGATACCTCTAAATGTTTGTGGAGCAATTCTCTACAAAACTGCATTCAAATTTAAAATTTTATTTTTTTTTCATTTTTTTGTCATTTTTCTGATGTTATGATGTTGTGGAAATTCAAAAATGTCCCGAGGCTGAAGTTCTAAACTCCATAACTCAACTAATCTTAATCGTAATTTGAAGTGGGATACCTCTAAATGTTTCTGGAGCAATTCTCTAAAAAACTGCATTCAAATTTAAAATTTTATTTTTTTTCATTTTTTTTGTCATTTTTCTGATGTTATGATGTTGTGGAAATTCAAAAATGTCCCGAGGCTGAAGTTCTAAACTCCATAACTCAACTTATCTTAATCGGAATTTGAAGTGGGATACCTCTAAATGTTTCTGGAGCAATTCTCTAAAAAACTGCATTCAAATTTAAAATTTTATTTTTTTTCATTTTTTTTGTCATTTTTCTGATGTTATGATGTGGAAATTCAAAAATGTCCCTAGGCTGAAGTTCTGCAGTCCATAACTCAACTAATATAAATCGGAATTTGAAGCGGGATACCTCTAAATGTTTGTGGAGCAATTCTCTACAAAACTGCATTCAAATTTAAAATTTTATTTTTTTTTCATTTTTTTGTCATTTTTCTGATGTTATGATGTTGTGGAAATTCAAAAATGTCCCGAGGCTGAAGTTCTAAACTCCATAACTCAACTTATCTTAATCGGAATTTGAAGTGGGATACCTCTAAATGTTTCTGGAGCAATTCTCTAAAAAACTGCATTCAAATTTAAAATTTTATTTTTTTTCATTTTTTTTTGTCATTTTTCTGATGTTATGATGTGGAAATTCAAAAATGTCCCTAGGCTGAAGTTCTGCAGTCCATAACTCAACTAATATAAATCGGAATTTGAAGCGGGATACCTCTAAATGTTTGTGGAGCAATTCTCTACAAAACTGCATTCAAATTTAAAATTTTATTTTTTTTTCATTTTTTTGTCATTTTTCTGATGTTATGATGTTGTGGAAATTCAAAAATGTCCCGAGGCTGAAGTTCTAAACTCCATAACTCAACTAATCTTAATCGTAATTTGAAGTGGGATACCTCTAAATGTTTCTGGAGCAATTCTCTAAAAAACTGCATTCAAATTTAAAATTTTATTTTTTTTCATTTTTTTTTGTCATTTTTCTGATGTTATGATGTGGAAATTCAAAAATGTCCCTAGGCTGAAGTTCTGCAGTCCATAACTCAACTAATATAAATCGGAATTTGAAGCGGGATACCTCTAAATGTTTGTGGAGCAATTCTCTACAAAACTGCATTCAAATTTAAAATTTTATTTTTTTTTCATTTTTTTGTCATTTTTCTGATGTTATGATGTGGAAATTCAAAAATGTCCCTAGGCTGAAGTTCTGCAGTCCATAACTCAACTAATATAAATCGGAATTTGAAGCGGGATACCTCTAAATGTTTGTGGAGCAATTCTCTACAAAACTGCATTCAAATTTAAAATTTTATTTTTTTTTCATTTTTTTGTCATTTTTCTGATGTTATGATGTTGTGGAAATTCAAAAATGTCACGAGGCTGAAGTTCTAAACTCCATAACTCAACTTATCTTAATCGGAATTTGAAGTGGGATACCTCTAAATGTTTCCGGAGCAATTCTCTAAAAAACTGCATTCGAATTTAGAATTTTATTTTTTTTTTCATTTTTTTGTCATTTTTCTGATGTTATGATGTTGTGGAAATTCAAAAATGTCCCGAGGCTGAAGTTCTAAACTCCATAACTCAACTTATCTTAATCGGAATTTGAAGTGGGATACCTCTAAATGTTTCTGGAGCAATTCTCTAAAAAACTGCATTCAAATTTAAAATTTTATTTTTTTTCATTTTTTTTGTCATTTTTCTGATGTTATGATGTGGAAATTCAAAAATGTCCCTAGGCTGAAGTTCTGCAGTCCATAACTCAACTAATATAAATCGGAATTTGAAGCGGGATACCTCTAAATGTTTGTGGAGCAATTCTCTACAAAACTGCATTCAAATTTAAAATTTTATTTTTTTTTCATTTTTTTGTCATTTTTCTGATGTTATGATGTTGTGGAAATTCAAAAATGTCCCGAGGCTGAAGTTCTAAACTCCATAACTCAACTTATCTTAATCGGAATTTGAAGTGGGATACCTCTAAATGTTTCTGGAGCAATTCTCTAAAAAACTGCATTCAAATTTAAAATTTTATTTTTTTTCATTTTTTTTGTCATTTTTCTGATGTTATGATGTTGTGGAAATTCAAAAATGTCCCGAGGCTGAAGTTCTAAACTCCATAACTCAACTTATCTTAATCGGAATTTGAAGTGGGATACCTCTAAATGTTTCTGGAGCAATTCTCTAAAAAACTGCATTCAAATTTAAAATTTTATTTTTTTTCATTTTTTTTGTCATTTTTCTGATGTTATGATGTGGAAATTCAAAAATGTCCCTAGGCTGAAGTTCTGCAGTCCATAACTCAACTAATATAAATCGGAATTTGAAGCGGGATACCTCTAAATGTTTGTGGAGCAATTCTCTACAAAACTGCATTCAAATTTAAAATTTTATTTTTTTTTCATTTTTTTGTCATTTTTCTGATGTTATGATGTTGTGGAAATTCAAAAATGTCCCGAGGCTGAAGTTCTAAACTCCATAACTCAACTTATCTTAATCGGAATTTGAAGTGGGATACCTCTAAATGTTTCTGGAGCAATTCTCTAAAAAACTGCATTCAAATTTAAAATTTTATTTTTTTTCATTTTTTTTGTCATTTTTCTGATGTTATGATGTGGAAATTCAAAAATGTCCCTAGGCTGAAGTTCTGCAGTCCATAACTCAACTAATATAAATCGGAATTTGAAGCGGGATACCTCTAAATGTTTGTGGAGCAATTCTCTAAAAAACTGCATTCAAATTTAGAATTTTAATTTTTTTTAATTTTCTTGTCATTTTTTTGATGTTATGATGTTGTGGAAATTCAAAAATCCACATTTAGCACAGTTTCATCCACTAAATAAACCAACGAATCGTTAGAACAAATACTTACTTCTCCAACTACCAAGTGGTAAGTCAACAGGTATTTGCATATTGATAATAATTATTTCGATCCTATTACCACTTTTTAGATGCTTAATTTCTGGTCAACCATGGGATTCACTGCACTTTTTTCCTATCTACTGAACCTGCTTATTGAGGCGCCATTTGGTGGACTTGACGCCACCAAAGGGGAAACCACCCGCAGAGATTAAGCCGCTGACGGATTCGGACCAAATGAAGCCGGTGGGGATGATGTTTACTCAAGTGACCGAAGAGAACTGGAGGGCAGTGACTCAAGTGCCGACCAGCTCGCCGAAAAGTCTCAATAAAGTCAGCCATAAATATATTTATTGATTAAAATTCCAAAGGCCACGTGACTCCTTAATCCGCGCACCCAAAGTATACTCCAAGGTGCATTAAAGCAGTTGTCACGAGTGCGATAAGGTTGTTTTAAATAACAGAGATTTCGTGTGCTTAATCTCGGCAATTTTCTATCGGTACAATGTGTTAAAAGCATTGTTACCTGTAAAGTTACCTGATAATTGGTTTATCAGGCGTTTTCCATACTATTGATTATGAAATGACTAATGTTACTGATGGTCTTTGTAGACGGCGCTTATCTCTTATTAATTCGCATATAAAAGTGGCTCCGAGTTCGCTGAGAAACCATTAATAAGAGTTGAGCCAGCATGGTTAACATAGTCGGAGTAGTCTTCCTCTGCGGACTTGTCGTCATCAGCGCCGGACAACCGAACGACGAGGATGAGCTCTTACATTTCCAGCGAGTCAGTCAACTCAGAGCCCTTGCCCTGGATTTTGCTGGTCAAGTGAGGGATTTGGATGTGCAGGAGCTCAACATCCTGGACTCGCGAGTGCCAAGTGTGCAGGATATGCTGTGTCTAAGCGATTTGACTGCGCTAATAGCTGGACTAAGCAATGGCCAGTACTGGGCGCTGAAAAGTAAGTGAACTTTGAACCGAAACCGAGTACCATTTCAATGGCCTTACCATCTGCATTGCGCCAGTGTTCGATTCCTGGGGCTCCAAGCCATCTGGTCTACTGACGGGAAACATGTACGACCTGGGCAACTTCGACGAGTGCCTCAGCATCAACACGGAAGTCAGCCTGGGCAGAACTATCCAGGGCAAGTACTGTTTTCTTTCAGTGTCTCCTGCCCAGGCGCTGGGAGTCCAGAGTTCCATCCTTGGCGGTTTCAATACCGCCACATGCCTGCCGGCATCCTGCTCGGCGGCTCACATGAACACGTTCGTGGGTATGTTGATGAAACAACTGCTTAACGTTAGTATTCCCAGCTCGGTCATGAGTATCAGCGAGTCCAGTTGCCAGACCAGTGAGCGTGAACCCTGGGACGGACTCACCATTGCTATGATGTAAGTGGCGCACTTTTTAATCAGTTTTCGGCTAATGCCTCTGATTACAGAGTGATCTTATCGGTGATGGGCTTCTTAGTGGCTGGGTTTACCATGTGGGACTACTGTGTGGTCAAGAATCAGGGTGAGTAAACAAAATCTTATCGATCCGAGTTAATTTTCAGCACGATTAGTAAACTTTTCAGACCACATACCCAGCATTGTAAAGGTGTTTTCGGCCAGGGCCAACTCACGTGCTCTGTTTCGCATTGTAGCAGTGAATTCTGGTCCAAATGTGATCGACTGCCTCCATGGAATTCGATGCCTGTCGCTCATCTGGGTGATCTTCTGCCATCAATATGTCATGGCATTTGTTGCGGCAAATATCAATCTGTTCCAATCTATATGGGTAGGAAACTATAAATTTCACATAATTTGTTTCATAAATAATATTTGAATCATACAGTGGGCGGAGACACCGTTTGCCAGTTTTGTTCTGCACGGCTTTTTCGCCGTGGATTCGTTTTTCATCCTCGGCGGGCTTTTGGTGGCTCTGATTTCGTTGCGTTTGATGGACAGGTAAGCCGACAATTAGGTAATATTTAATATTCAATATTTAATACCGCCAATCGCGGTGCATCCACAGAAACGCAGGTAAGCTGAACGTACCTTTGATGTACCTACATCGCTTGCTCCGCATCGTTCCCCTTTTGGCCATGGCCATTGTGGTGTACATGAAGCTCATGCCCATCATAGCAGATGGACCTCGATTCGCCAGTGGCTACACAGGAAAGGTGGCTTGTGAAAATGGTTGGTATTGGACTTTGCTCTTCGTGAATAACTACACCGGAGATATGGTAGGTCCTGGTCTGTGCTCAGCTCAATCGAAAACTGATATCAATTCCCTGGACTTCAGTGCGTTGGCCATTCCTGGTATCTATCGGCGGACATGCAGCTGTTCATCCTGTCGCCGATCCTGCTGATCGCGGTCTACAAGTGGGGCAAGAAAGCAGCTGCTGGCATTTTCGTGCTAATCATTTTGCTTTCCGGCTGTCTCTTTGCCACCATAATGGTCAACAAATACTCCTTGGTGCTCAAGTATGAACGACTACTCCCATTTCGAGAATTCGTTTTTCATACCGTGTATGTTTGTGTAGGAAGTTTTCAGCGGATGCGCAAAAGGATCTGTATTATGCCACCCACACCCATGCTACGCCTTGGTTGATAGGATTCCTCTTCGGCTGCATTCTACACATGAACAGGGGAAAGAAGTTTCAGCTCAGCAGGATAGTCGTGTGGTCGGGATGGATCCTTTGCCTGGCCATGATCTTCACCTCGATCTTCGCCCTCTACCCGTACGCCAAGTGGTTTGGTCCAGAGCTGTCCACCTTTGCGGAGGCTTCCTACTACACTCTAACTCGAATCGGCTGGTGCCTGGCCCTCTGCTGGGTGATCTTCGCCTGCCAGAATGGATACGGAGGACTGGCCAACAGCTTCCTCTCCTCGCCGCTGTGGCAACCGTTTTCCAGACTATCCTACTCCGTGTTCATCTGGCACATGTTCTTCCAGGAAGTCAATGCCAGAAGCATGAGAACGAATGCATATTTCTCCAACTACACCATGGTAAGTGTGCGAACATTTTGGGGTAGCATTTGATCCTGAGGCACTGAACTTAATCTCTCTAGATGCTCAACTTCTGGTCAACCTTTGGCTTTACCGTGCTGTTTGCCTATGTGATGCACTTGGTGATTGAGGCTCCTTTTGGTGGTCTCGACTACTTGCTGAGACCAAAGCAAAAAACTGCCGCTCTTGTTGAAGAGAAATCCCAGATAGCTGACAACGAACACAGTAACCTCGAGGAGCTAAAAGTAACGACTTCAACACCTTCCGAAAGTTAACTGTAACTAATGCTAGTCCTAGTAATTTATATCTTAAGTGTAAGTAAGTGAATGAATATTATTTTTAGAAAAGCAACGCGCTTGTTTGATTCACCTTCTTAAAGCCGTTTAGTAGCTGAGCAGTTGGCCCTGCTCCTGGCCGAGTAAGACATTTATCTACGACTCCTACGCTTCCGACTGATGGGGCTAGAGCCACATCAGTACCTGCCACCCTGCCCCGCCGCATCTCCGGTTGCATGTGGCGTGTAAATTTAAGCCTGAAAACAAATGGAGAACTTCTTGACTTAGCCCGATGCCATAAACTACCTGTGACTGCCGTTGCAACTCCAGTTGCAACTGCAACGGCAATGGCAACTGCAATAAGGGGCTGCCCTGGGCCGACAAAGCGATCTGGCTCCGGATCCGAGTTCGAATTCCCACTGCGCATATTTTATGGCAGTTACGCGGCTGGCGGGCAACTTAATTAGTGCCTGCTGGTGCGCCTCGACTCCGGCTCAGCTCCACTTCCTCTTGCACAGACACTTCGATTGCGGCAGCAGGGACAGCTGCATTGCACCTGACATTTAACATTATTGCGCGGCGCCTCCATCGAATACCGAATGAGAATGAGAGCGCGAATGGGAGTGGGTTGGCGGCCATTACGGGCAGCGCCTTAAAGTGGCATTGCCACGGTGCTCGCGCTTAAGCGGTGTTAAGCTTAATGTGCACCACATTGACACCACTGCCGGACCACGTGGCCCACGTGGAATGCGGAACATGGAGCATGAGGCATGCAGCATGCAGCGTGCAGCCCTGTTTTCGGTGACAGTGATGGCAATTACAGATCTCAAGCATAGGTCAATATGTATACTTAAAGTAATACAAATTCAATTGAATAGGTTATATTCTGTAATAAGTTATACACTAAAAATAGGTGGTTAATAGAGCTTTAAGTACAAGCTGTAAGTACAAGCGAACAAAAATTGATGGCTGCGAGATACGGCAAATAAATTCGTTGTGGCATTTGCTTAAAGGCGTCTCTTCAAGTTGGCAACACTGTGGCTCGTCGGCTCAGTTGCATTAACGTTTTGTGACTGCGCCAAGGGTTGCGTGTTCGATTGCAGTTGCTTGCATTTAATGGTTTAGGGCACACTTCTGTGGGAGGGCCAGGCCACTTACGATTCATTGAATTGCCCCCGGCATTCCGACTCCGACTCCAGTGGGGCACAATTGAAAATCGATCCGGCTTCGTGTCGCTGATGTTTTCGGTGCTGTTTTTGGAGCTGTTTTCGGTGCAGCCCTCCTCTTCATGGACTGCCGGAAAACCCAGGACTCTTTTGAAACCCAAGGAGGGCCGTATTTGGCCGGCGGTAAGTCCCTGAAATAAGCTGTTGTAATATGCTCCGAGAAGGACTCTGCTCGGAGGGAGCTGGCTTTTGACAGGACTTCCAATTAGCAGGAGTCAACTGCTCATGTAAACATTTTCCGATTTAACTTTCGGAATTCTGCCGCTTCTGCCGCTTCTGCCGGAGCAAAGAACAAAGTACAAAGAACTTTTGTGCACATTTGTGTTTATTATTGTATAAATCAAAAGATAAAGTTGCACACAGAGTTCCTGCTCCGCCCTCCGCCCTCCCCCTCCCCCCCACTGCTCCTTTGGCCAGCCCGGGATTCGGTTGGTTAGGTTCTCCTCCTGGCCGGACTTAGGGGTTATCCTCGGTTGCTCCATGCTCCATGCACTCCGTGTTCTGTTTGCATGCAGCGGCGCAGTACGTAAACTAAACGGAGTGCACACATACACTTGTCGTGCATGGTTGTGGCATTATAAAATATATCTGGGCACCAACAACAAAGGCGGCTCTTTGGGGCTCTGCCCAATTTCCAAGTTGGTAATGGCAAAATGGCGATCTGGCTACCTCTGCTGCTGCCGCTGCCGCTGCTGTTGTTGTTGCCACATTTAAATGCCAAACTTCACCGGACATGCTTCATAGCTCTAATTATACATGCGCCTTCCTCGGAACGCCTTCCGTTATTCGGGCGAAGGAAAAAATACAATACAGCCAAGGAGGACAACAGTGGAGCCCGCAGAGCCAGGACTCTCGTTATTGTTATTGTTGCTGCCATTGTTGTTGTTGTCGAGACTGCATTGTTGTTCGGCTTGTTGGCCCCTTGCCAAGGGGCAACGCGTCGTATGCGCAACGTGGCCTGCTATTTTTCTAGCCACAGCTAAGCACACACAGCCACGGTCAAAATAATAGCAGTGGGGTGCTCTGAAACAAATGTGTTAGCATTTCTCTGTGCAGAATTATTAAAAATAGTTCGAGAACGCAAAAGCGCGTCTTTAAAGTCTATCTAATCATATATTAAGCACATTTCCAGATACATTAAAATAATTATTATATCTTTTCATTTTCATTGCTATTATTTTGCACAGGACTGCCTTCAGTTCGTCTGTATTGATATATGTAAGTGTATTGGTGTGGGAGGGAGACAGCGACTTTGGCTTGAGTCAAAACCTCTGGAGAAGTTTGCATGTCTGTTTAGTAATTCAGAGAAAAGCGGGAAGCGAAGGGCCGTCACTCTTTTGATTTGATTAGTACCCGCACAAACACACACCAACACCATAAATTTATGTAAATTCTGGCAGCATAAAATATGGCATTAAAGTATAATGTGCAACTCCAGGCACGCAAAACCAAATCGGAGTAAGAATGAAGACATTATGCTCGAGCCAAGATTGGTGGCTTGCTATATACCGATGACCAAGACGCTACAATTGTCGGTCTAAAAACTTTCATTACCAGAGACGCATTAGCATATTTGCTCTGCGCCTCTTTTATAAATCACTTCATTGACATTTTTTACGAGGCGTCAAATCGACGGTCGGGGAGTTGGCTGCCCAACTTTTCGAGAACAAAACATGTCCAAAGTCTGGGAAAATGTCTAAGCCCGCGGGCGGCGTTTGGGGATCGGGACACCCGACCCTTGGCCCAAGTCCCATAGCCCTTGGCCAAGATTGACGCGCCGCTTACGTGCCACGGAACCATTTGTCTTAGAGCCGCACTTTGCGTGTCTTAATTAGCGCCCCACCGCCACCGCCACCGCCACCACCTTCCACCGGAGGTCTGCATCTCATCCTCGTTCTCCCGCTGTAACAGCCACCCACGAAACTTTGCAGACGCCAAGTCGAGCCTGGAATTTATGTATCCCAGATAAGAGCACACTGATAAGCCTATAGATTCCAGGGCCTTGGCCTGTCTTTGCCCTGAGTTATTATTGAAGCAGGGACATGCTAATGAACTCGGCCAGGGAATGGGCTCCAAGTGGGCCACAAAGGAAAGTTTTATTTCGGGTCAGGCAAAACTTAATTAGCCGTGTTGGGGGTTTTCACTTTCCAATCTACTGCTGTACATACCTGCTTAGACACTTTTTGGTTGGTTGTAAAGGACGTGCATTATTCCTACTATTCCTGCAGCAAAAGCGCTTTTAAATAAGGCCAAGTTAAGTACGAGAATGCAGCGCACAGCTTAAATGCAACATTTAGTCATTAATTTCATTAAAGATAATGGCATGACTGGCGTTGGAACTTGTATAATTGGGTCACTATGAACGAAATACCCGTTTACTGAAAAATACGGCCAAGCTTTGGGGCCCAGAGAAAAGCCGCCTTTGTGTTGTTAATGAAACTTTAAGCCTTCAGCCGCCATTGTCCTGGCCTTCATTGGCCATTCGAGGGGTCAGGTGGACAGCTGCCGTCTGATAAAGCCCCGCGAATGCTAATTAAAGCCTCGCACTGTGCTCGAATGTTCCGCCTCCGGCTGAGCGTATGCAAATCGTGTAAATCAGAGAGTTTAGTGCCACTGGCCACTGGCCACTGGCCACTGGCCGTGTCCCGCCATAAGCTGCCATATTTAGTTAAGTAATCAGGATTTTTGTGGGAGGCAGCCCGGAGGCGGCAGCTGGCTGTAGTTGGCCAGGGGGCGTGGCTGGAAGGGGTTCAAATTGTTGACTGGCACAACAAAAGAGTTTTCTAGTTTTGTGCCCAGGAGACTGGGCGCCCGGGGACCCATGTATTTTGTCGATGACTTTGTCCTTTCCCCGGGTGCCGGGGTGTGCTGCTTGTAGTTGTGTGTATATTATTATGTCGACAGGACTCCCCCAGTGTCTGAGGACACACTGCCTTGTCCTGCCTTTGTGGCTGGCATGTGGTGCTCGTTAAATGCTAATTGCCGCATACTTGTAGCCACTTTATGTGGATGCCTTTGTGCAGGCAGCCCCCGCACACCCTCACCCGAGTAAAACAAGGCAGCCCCGCCTCCAATTGAGTGTCGGGCTAATTGAAACTGTGCCCAGAGCCCGTCCCCGTCCCCGCATTTGCCGCGAAAACTATTACCACATTTCGCGGCCATCAATCAAAGGCTTAATATCCGCGAGCCCCATGCTCGGTTCTGTTGTCCGTGGAATAAGCATGTCAGAGCCAGGAGACGGCACAAAGTGCATCACTCGACCGCTAATTTGGGCCGTAAATACGAGACCCACTGCAGTTTCCAGCTGACCTGCTGTTGGCCTTTTCGAAACTCTGGTATTCATAACGTAACGAGTCAGTTTCGCATGCAAATGTCACAGTTGTGCAGTCCTAAGCGGCTGGCTATGTGGCCATGTGGCTATGTGGGTGATAGGTTTGGTTCAGTGCAGCAAGATCATGCTGCCATATGTGACCTGTGCGAAGACGAAGCCACTCGATTCCGGTTGTCGGCCGTTCGAGAGCTAAACCTCATTAGAAGTGGCCCACTCGTCCTCCTCTGGAACCACTGAACATGGCAGGCAGCTCCCATTTTGGCATTTATCGTCCAGTTTTTCAATGACTAGGCCAACTGGCCATCAGGCCAACGGGCCAACGGGCCAACAGGCCAACAGGCTCTCTTAATTACCGAACATCGCCCAAATGCGTTTTTCTATTGGAACCTGGTTGAGGCGTGAGTTCATCAGCCTGCGCCTCAATTTGCATAATTTCCAGCCCGGAAGCTCAAGTGCGGCGCTGATTGTGGGGGCTCATGACTTTCATATGCTCGCTGGGTTCGGGCATCC